TGCTGCAGAAGATCAAATAGAACCAAAGATGATCAAATAGAGCCACACTTATGGAATGATAAATCAGCCCCAGGAGAGCATGGTTGCCTGCGCTTGTGTTCATAGTCTTAACATGGCTCAGTGGATAAGAGCTCTCACTGCATCTAGATTGAATCTTTTTTTTTCTCTTTTAAATAAAAGATTTGTTTGCTTTACGCTGAGTGTATCAATGTTTATCTTCATGGATGCATATGTACCATGTCTGTTCCTAATACCTAGGAAGGCCAGAAGAAGGCATTGAATTTCCTGGGACTGGAGTTATAGATGGTTGTAAATTTCCATCTGTATCCTGGGAAACAAACCTGGGTTCTCTGCATGAAAAGCAAATATTCTTAACCGTTTATTCATCTCTCTAATGTCCCAGATTTATTTTTTTAAGATTCAGTTGAAACATTTGCTCTTCTGAGACATAGGTCCTATTTCCTAGAATCTGTATATACCTATAAAATTAAATTCTTTTGTTCACTCATTTATCAAAGCTTACATACCTTACACTTAATATGCGTTCTTATCTAAAAACACAACACTTTCACATGATTAGATATAGTAGACTAAATTCTTCACTCCCTTCAAGTTATTTTCATGGAAAGAAAGCAGGAAGAAGTAAAATGGATAATCCAAACACATGCTCTGTTGAATGGTAGTATCTCAGGATTAATAAATTTTAGAAAGGGCTAAACAGACCTATCGCAGCAGGGTTTCTCAGAGAGTGAAGTACTGGGGTAGCTAGATATCTGAAGATGGTAAAGGGATGAGTTGTGGTAATAAGAAGGGAGAACTCAAAAACCTTGAGGTCGGTATGAGCACCATCAAAGCAGTAGAAATAAAAGCCAGAGATCTAAAAAAAAATTAAATGTGTGTAGGATTTTTAGATCTTAAAAAAACAAAATGAAACAAAGCAAAACAAACAAACAAATGAACCCCGAACCCTTGGGATTACCGTGAATGAGATGGAAAGTTGGTAAAAAGCAAATGGATAACATGATTTGATTATCAGAGAGATTTTGATGACTGTGTGGTGAACGATAAAAAAGAAACAACTGGAACCACAGTGGTAGCAGTGGAGTGGCAAGAACAGCAGGGTTCTGCTTATCTTTTTGAGTTGGAGGCAAGAGGGTATGCTGGGAGGTGTGGGAGAGAGAAAAGCGAGGATGACCCTATTTGCTGGGTACAGGCAGCTGGGTAGAAGTGCGATTAGCCGAGATGAGGAAGGCTTTGGGAGAAGCACCTGTGGGCTTGGATCAGCACGAGCTTCCTTATAGAATCTGAAGTCTGAGATTTCAAATGGAGACGTCAAATGGATTGCTGGTTAGTGATTCTGGAAGTTCAAAGTTATTCGGCAAGACATCGATTTGGAGGTCATACTTAAAACCACACAGCAAAATGTTATAATTAAAGGACTGAGTGTAAACGGAGAAGAGAAGAGCTTTGTGGTTCAAAGAAGGAACCCCTCAGCACTGGTCCATAGGAAGAAACTGTTTGATGTTAAATAATCAGCTAAACATGAACTCTGCTGGTGGGTTGAGCACTGTGTTGGAGGTTCACCTTGCCACCATGTGTTATTACTGATCTTGTTGAGATTAGTTCTAGATTAGAAAAACATGGACAAAAACTGTTTTTTTTTCACTACTTGAGCATGAGGAAGACAAGAAACAGGGAATGTAGAAAGAAAATGCCTTGCTTAAACCTATTGTATTTTGGGCAGGGGTGTGCTCCTTATTCTTGAAAGTGTTATGACTTGGATGTTAACTCACACATCCTTTCTATGAGAATTCTATCTGGAAGATCTATACAAAATTCAAAACCAACCAAGCAAGCATAAGAAGTTGGGCATGGTGGTGCATATATTCCATCTCACCACTTCGGAGACTTGGGCAGGAAAGACCAGGCACTAGAGTCAGCCTTTCCCACATAGAGTCCTTGTCTGAAAAAAGAAAATAAAGCCAAATAAATAACAGCAACAAATATCATAAGAAAGAGTAGAGAGTACTTTGTTTGCACTGTGCAAGCAAAAGTTGATACGGAAATAAAAGGGATATTTGGGAATGATGTCTTTGAAAAGATGAGGGGATAAGATAGATACAGAGGAGTTAGCTTTGTGTGCCTGTGGCGTGGAAAGGCAGAATGTGCAGGGCTCTCTTTCTTGGATGGTATTTTTGTTGGTGATTTATTTGTTTGTTTTCCACACACTGTGAACCTCTTAAGAGCAGTAAGTATAAATGTCTTGTTCATTTTGTAGTAGGGGTTTTATTGTTCTACTTCTCTTCGCTAGTACAATGTCAGACACACAGCAGGCATGCAATAAATGTCTGAACTAGAAAATGAAGACATTGTGTTAAGCACGTGTCCGTTCTGTCATCTCATTCAAGTCGGATTATTGCCATCAAACCTTGACAACCAGATTGATTTAATTGTGTTTTTCTTGCTCGGCTCTACAGAATGCTCGAGTAACTGGAAAAGGTGATTGACAGACATGATTGTGTTTCTACCCAAATCAACTGTGCTGCCTAAATGTTAAGTCAGTGACCCTTGTTATGACCTGTTGCAGTTGCGCTAGTATAGATTTAGTATCAATTTACCACTTTCGTACCAGGGACCTTCTGAAAACCTTATCTTCCCTCACTGTCCATCTGCTGTTTGCAGTTTATTGTTCATACAGCACATATCACTAGCTGTCATTCACTTGGCCAAATTACTGAGAAGTTCTTTGAGGATGGTCATTACACAGACATTGCTTTTTACCTTATGTTTTGTGGCTCTGGTTAGGTAGACAGAACGTGTTCCTGAGGATGAAATGAAAAGTACTTGATCTTAGATCTGGTACTGAAAAAGTACCAAATAAACAGATTTGTTGTTGAATTATTGCATGCTATTTGTTTACCAATGGTCTCTGGTGGTCGTGGCCAGTGCACAGGCTGCATCTTCTTTCTCATGGGGTGTTCAGTGCCCATCTCTTTCCTTGCTTCCTTTGTATCTTCTTATCCTGCTTCCCTTGCTGCCTAGTGTGCCATCTCTACCTATGTGTGCCTTTAAAGTTAGTGTGCATTTATTTACTTAGTGTTAAAATTTCTTGTTGCCTTATTAGTTTTTGAGAGTTTCTTATAACATATTTTGATTGTATTCACCCTAACTCCTCCCTTAAACTCCCCCTGACCTAACCCCATTTCTATATCCCTGCAACTTCATGTCTTCTTTATTTTTTCTCAATTTAACAACCCATCTATCCATAGCACCTCATGAACCCCTACACATTCCATACTGGAATGTTGCCTGGTTTAATCTTGTACAAGCAACGATAACTTCTGTAAGGTCATGAGGACAGTGATTCTCTTTGGTGGTGGTGGTGCTTTATTTCTAAATCAAATGCTTACTTCTCCTCTCTGAGGACTTATTTTTTCTTTGAGAACTTTATATAAGGAATTGCGTATTTGTATGCTTGGTAATTATTATTGCCTCTCGAGTGGCAGGTTCTACTGCTGCTGTATGTAGATGGTCTGTCCTGATAGCTTTTGGTTGTATACCGTTCCAGTCAAGACTGTTGATGACAATCACTTAAATTTTTCATTTGATTTTGCTTACAGGGAGGAAGTAGTTTACAGTTTGAGTAAACAATTGTTATTGAATTTAGCAGATACATTATCGAATAACATGTCTTTATAACATGAAGCCGAGATGTATATTCCTTGTATCAACCCTATACTTTCTAACTATACATCTCTGTTCCCTCTTAGGTAGGGATACTAGAGAATTAATTGTATTATCAATTTTTACACTTTAACCAATTACAGCTTTTTTTGTTTTGTTTTCATGTTGAAAACAAATTTCCACTTTGGTAGATTGAGTAAACGACTTATTTTTTGTAGTGATTTTAAAAGGACACAGACTTCCTTAATTGTGAAATGGAATTGAGAGTAATGCGTTTTAGAACTGAAAAGCACTCCAGCAACTAGCTAGTGGCCAACACCATCACCTTCTAAATAAGACCCAAAGAGGTTAAATGATTTGTTCAGTATTCCCCAGCTTGGTTAGTGGCAGAGCAGGGCAAAAATCCAACTCCCATGCTGCCATCCTTTCTACTTCTGAATAAAATGCATACTTCTTATTCACAGTATTGATGTGAGGATTAGGGACCACATCTGTGAAAATAGATTTAGCCTTTGGAAGGAAAGATGCTGGGTAGCTTTATGAAAACTAACCTTATTTGAACCTTTTCTGTGTGATTGGTAGCTTTGTTCAGTTTTATGTTTCTCACTTTGGGACCCTGTTTTGTTTTGGCCACGGACTGGATAATTTATGATGCTTGTTTAAGAATCAATAATAAATGCCTAGATAGTCTTAAAAATGTGAATTGCATCAGCTAGTTTTGCATCGAGGAGCAGGTGCAGACAGCTTTCCAGAATGGTGGTTGCTTAGGTACAAGAAAAGTTTTCTGTTCTTATGCTGTATATTTGGAATAACCAGTTGATTTCAAAAGAATGAAAAATGAGAAAAAGGAAGCATAAGTAAGATATAAGTACACACACACACACACACACACACACACACACACACACACCACACACTTTTCCAATCTGGTAATTCTTTCAAAGCTTGATGCAGCATGTCTTAACAGACCATGAGTTTTCCCTCTTGCTGAGCAAGGGATCCATTATACTAATCCACCATGCCTTCATATCTCTGGCAAGCACATGTAAGTGATAACTTAGAATATTTATTTTGACACAAGGTGTATAAATCTTCTCTATGTCATCCCGGATAGTGAGGAAATTGTGACTTGCTTAACTTGGCTGCTTCATCTGTTTAAATTTGGCTTTTTCTTCACAGTGTGTTTGGATTATGTAAACAAGAACCTTTTTAATTTCTCTACTATCGAAAGTGATTTGTGCAGATTCATATGTATAGAGAAAATAAAACTCAAGTACCAAAAGGCTAAAGTAACTTTTATATATATTTTTAATTAGGTCCGATTATATGCAAGACCCGATGCTATCAGAAGAGGATCCGGGGACTATGCTCTCCACATTACAAAGAGATTAATAGAATTTTATGAAGACTACTTTAAAGTGCCCTATTCTTTGCCAAAACTAGGTAAGATTTCTTGATTATTTTATTGGAAAAACTCCTGGAAGATGGAATTTCGTCTTCATCATTAGTTGAAGCATCCAGCAGCATAAGAATTCAATCGTTTATATTTTTAGAGATGAGGAACACAAAAATAATATCTTCTGAAGAGGTAAAATATGATTAATGTCCTGGAGTCTTGCCAGTAAGTGCTCATGGGAATTACGGAAGGCATTATGTGAATCAGAATCTCAGAAAATAACCTAAATAGCTACAGTTGGTTAAATACATTCTATGGAAGGGAGCTTGCCAGAATTCAAGCTTAATCTCTACAACGACCACGCAAATAGATGCAATTTGAGCATCTTCCACATAAGGGGACTGAGGGTGTTTCTTAATATCGAGATAGGCAAGTCTTTATGACTCTCAGAACTAGTCAATATTGCACACAGACCTGATATAGATAGCCGCACTCTCTCTAAATTGCTATATGTCAGATCTTAATGAATTGACGTTCCTTTAGATGATTTTTTAAGACTGTATTTGTAGTACACAGTTAAGCTAATAAAGAAGTGACAGAAGAGAAATTTGGTAATAATGGAAATTGTAATAATGGAATGTTCTTGTACGTATTCCTTTTACAGAGGGAATGTGTTCAGTAATTGTTGGTCCTGTGAATAAATGCATTAATGTATTATTCTAACTTGAATGAGGCTGTGCTTTTGGCAGGAAGTGAGCAAGAACATTCCAGGATATTATAAAGGGTGCATATATGCGTTAGAAATGTTGAAGTTACTTTCCCTTTACAGAGCTGTTGTCTTAAATGTGACATCACAACAGTCCTTTGTTCCCCACTCACCCCTCTCTTGTCAATTTTCTTCCCAAGAGTATTTTCTTTTTGTCAGAAGTCAATAAGATGCATTTTTTTTTTGTTGGGAAGAATGAAGTGTTTATTTGATCAAAAATGTTAGTTTGAACCCCAGGTTCACCTCCCTGGAGAACTGGGCCTATTTCATTAAAGTACCTGCCTGCTGTGTAGCTTTATTGGTCATACAATGAGTCATTCAGAAAGTAGATAGAATGGCTGACATTGTCATCTATGGGCATGACATTCCATTTTAATGAGTTGTATTCCAAAACTGTAAGGTCTTTTGGAAATATTCACTCAGCATTCATAGACAAAATTTTAATCCACATCGGCTCTGTGCCCCTTCCTTGTTACATCGACTTCATTTTTAGAGTCTGTTTCATTGAAATCTCCCTGGTAGCCACCCAAGGCAGAAAAGCCTGCTTGACCTTATTTGTGTCGGGGCTGCTGCTGTTGTCTCTACCAGGTACCTGGGAACATCCCAGCTTGACCCTAATGTAAAACTCACATGTGCTTATGTTGCATGTTCAGCAAGAGAAGTAAAATGTGAATCTTTTTTTCCTGTCCCCTTCAGACCAGTAATTAGCAGAGGAACTCAATTTATAACTTCAGGGGGTTCCCTGGAACTGTCAGCTTGCAACAGGATTCATTCCGGCTCCTCTGTTTCACTCACAATTGAACCATGCAGGCTTTCATCTGCAGGGAAAAAGCTTCATTCACTGTTACCATGACTTGTTAAGCTTCCCCATGGTGTATATAATTGTATGATTTGACTTCCCCCAGCACACTCCTCTTTATATATCTAGAGGAGTTACCAGAGCTCAAGGGTGCTTTATGAAATTTCTTGTAAAGGTCTACTTATTCCATATGTCTGTAGATGTTTATGCTAATGGATTTGTAAGTATGATCTCTAAATACACCTTACATAAAAATCCCTAACAGCAGAATAATTTTTGATAAATTCTCACCTTCCATCATATATTATGAATTACACTTTAAATAAACTTTATATTCAACAGCTTAGCCTTTGTTAATGATGCCTGTACATCTATTCTAGATTTAAACCGAGATGGCTTTGATCCTTCAGGTTTAGCAAAAATTGTTTCCAAGGCTCATTCTACTCTTCTTTCTTTCCCATATTCATTCTATTAGCATTTATTAAGAGTCCACCACAGTCATTTTTTTTCATATGATGAAAAGAATTTAGTGACCAAAATAGGGAAAAATCCTTTCTTTCCTAGAAATTTCTTTATACCAGGTGAAGACAGACAGTAAGCCAATTAGTAACAGATACAGTTTATCAGTTGGAGACCATTATTTAAATAGTTGTGGCAGTGATCCTAGCACTAAAGAGGTTGAAGCAGGAGGATGGCACATTTGAAGTCAGCTGGGCTCTGTTGTGAGACCTTATTTAATTAACCAATCAATCAATATTAACAAATAACTATAATAGAGGGCTAGGAAGTATGTGAGGGCTAGATGTAGCATGTGTGAGAGGATGAAACATTTTTTAATTAATTAGTTAATTAATTATAGTTTTTAACATGGAAGTGTTAATTTGGAAGAGGTTAGATATCAAGAAAATGAAAAAGTTAGCCGAGCTGAAAGCACGGGGCATGAGTTATTATCAAAGAGATCAAAGTGCCTGGAGTTTGGACGCAGATCTTAATGGTGTGTTTGAAGAATGGCAAAGAGGCAAACATGCCTGGAAAAGAGTGAGTAAAGGGGTGGGCACTCTGGGATGGGTATAAGGGGAACAAATATAATACGCAGAACCAGAAGGTCACACCCCCTGCTCTCTGAGAGTCCAAACAGACTGAGAACACACCATGTACCCCCAGAGAGTAGCCCCCAAACTCACAGCTGTCTTCTTCCTCAATATCCCAAGTCCTAGGGATGTAGGCATAGGTCACTACAGCAGGTTTGGATCTTCTTTGATAAGAAGCCTTTTTGCTCTGTTCGACCTCACTGGATATATTATTTCTGAACTTCCCTCTTAAGTTTCATTTTATTTATAATACTAAACAGCTTAGCTTCAATGACTGTGGCTCGCCTCATGCTAGCTTATATCTAAGTTTTCACGCCACGTAGCTTATGGCAAGAGTTTTTTGAGAGGAATTCTAGTGATTCTTATTAGATTAGGTGGCAAATTTACTATCTTTGATCAACACAGCTATTTCTTTATCATTTTAAGTCTACATAAGCTGAAAGTGTACACTGCATGATTTATTTTAAGCTCTCTAAATTGGGTAATTAAAACCATTTGTATAATGTGCAGAGTTTCTACTTCTTGGTATTAAACTATACAAGAGAATAGAGTATGCTGTGATACTACAACAGGACATTCTATGTCAAAGCATCGTCGTTCCATGAGCACTTGCAGGGCTGTGCTCTGCTGTGCTGTATGTTCTATAAAGCACATTATAGTCATATAGAATTGAGTTACCTTTCATATTAAAAAACAAAACACATTGACAGAAGCAAAATGGCAACCGTGTTTGTTAATGAAATGTAAGCAATTCTTACAACTTTGTACATCTTTACCCATTTATTTATCACCACAGCCTTTTGAAGTAGGATCCACCCCTTTCTAATTTTCCAGATGAAGAATTCTAGGGATTTGGTAAGCAAATAATATGAAAAGATCATAGATATATAAATAATGAGTTAGGGATTCAAATTCAGAGTTTGGTTAAAAACTATTTCAAAAATGTTGGCAACTCATCGACGAAAGCATGTGTCACTTTAATAAAGGTGATTCTCTGACTTAGTGGAATAACAGATGAGCTATTTTTGTTAGTTTCTTACTGATTAAAAGTAATAATACTTAGGGCCATTGTAGGACAAGTGGAAAGGAAGGTTATGAAGAAACAAATCTGAGAAATCACAACGGCATCATTGTGAAGACACACCTAATTCTTGCCCATGCGTTCTCACTATAGCTGTTTATAAGTTAATGAGGTGACAGATACAATGATGGGCACAGCATTTTGTTACTCACCACTTTTAGGTTTCAATTAATTATGGCAGACAGTTTTCAGTTTCCCGTTGCTGCTGCACTGTAATTTGTAAATCGATGTTTTGTAAAAGAGTTTGCTTGATTGCTTCTTCTCAAGACTCAGCACCTTTGCTTTTATGGGGAACTCATTACCTGCCTGGCATGGTACTGTAGAGGGGGCACAGGCGTTACGTCACAGGAATGCCTGCCCTCAAGGAGATTGTGGGTATGTTGAGGAAAGAAAACAGTATTTACAGGGATGAATGGACTTGATACCCACAAAATATAAAAGCCCGATACTTTAGACTTATAAAGTAATGTTTAATACCCTTTAAATGAAGTATGAGTTCTGTGATATAGACATGAAACACACAGAGAATACGCATCTTTTCCTGAATCCCAAGAACAGTGGCAGGAAAAAAGGGGAAGGCTCATCCTAAGGATTGCATAAGGCAGGAACCCATGCATACCTGGGACTCTATGAACCACATGAACGAGTCTGTGTTTTTATAGAAGGGAATAGAGAAGTAGAAGGATAAATTTTCATATTAGAATTTGGGAATAAAAGATGTCGGTTTGGATGATAGATTTTGTTTAAGCAATAATGGACATATCTGGCTTTTCTGTGTATTTCTATGAGTATGTTATGTGTGCATGTGTGTGCTTGCATGTGTGTGTGTGTGTGTGTGTGTGTGTGTGTGTGTGTGTGTGTGCACATTGTGGTAATACACAGAGATCAAACTCAAGTATCATTTCTCAGTAACTGTGCACTTTGATTTTGAGACACAGGGCTAGGCTAATGGTTCATTCCTATTAAAACATTGGTTTTTATTAATTTATTTCATCTCCAGTGTTCTGTTCAATCAGGAGCTTGGGGCTCACCAGTTCAGCTAGGCCAGCCAGTGAGCTCCAGGGATCTCCATCTCTCCAGCACTCTTAGTACAAAGTCATCACCACAGTTGGCTTTCAAGGCTTCTAGGTTTCTAGTTCAGATCTTGGTGTTTGACTGCAGCCATTTTACCCACTGAGCCACCTCTCCAGCCCTGACACATCTTTTTATTGCAGTGTGGATAAGTGCTTCAATAATGATCTGCTTCTTACAAGGAGTAAAACCCCATGAAATATTTCATGATATAGTGAAACACATACACACACTTACGT